GTGCGAAGATGGGTGGATTTTGCAGCCAGACTATGAGTACCCAATGCTGCTGGCTGTAAGGACTAGGGGGTCACCTCTTATTCTTGGGCCCTTATGGCAGGTGGCTAGGTGGCATGGGTGGAGCCACCAGTCCTCAGGCTCCCAATGTGGGTATGTGAAGACGCTGCTTAATGGGCAGAGCGGTGTCTAATGTCACAAACCTGCCACTTCACAGCTGAAACAGTTGAAGGTAGACTTCAGGTATATATCTTGTTGTACTGCAGTAACGGGGACCTATGCTGTTGAAATGGGCCCACACAAGTCTATGCAGGGGAAAGATACTCAGAGTCCATGGATCCCTTATGCCTGTGCCTAGGCAAAGTTGATGTGCCTACCCTGAGTTCCTGGTGTAGGGGAGCCAGCAGATTATTTTTTCCAATTTATTATTTTGTTCACTCTCCTAGCCAGGAGAATGGCTCAGGGCTGTGACGGGTCCTACTTCCATCCCAGGGGACTTGGCAATTGCTGAAGCTGGTCCTGGACCCAGTGCAGAGCAGGGAGTGGGGAGGTAAATGGGAGAGAGGTTTTCCGCTAAGGGAAAACTCACTGCTCACCCCCCAGCTAATATAGGCTGAAAGTCTCAGGCTCCCGCTGGGTCAGGTCTGGCAACTCCTCGCTGCTTCCGAACCATCTCTCACTCCCCCTGCCACTCATTTGGATTCCTCAACTTTGTCTTTGATGTTCAGAGCTCCTAGATTGTCATATATAATTGACTCACTTGTTTTTTCAGGCCTTAGTTGTAAGAGGGATCACTGGAAACTTCTGACTACTCAGCTATCTTGGCCCCGCCCCCCGCCTGTGAATTTTCAAGAGATGTTTATAAATATGCTTTATTGAAAAAGGTTCAACATAAGCCTAAACCTGTCATCATTCGAAATAAAAAGCCAGCTTCCTATATAAATCTCGCACCAGGCATTATGCAGGGCTCTAAATAGTAAAAGCCATTGCTTTTCTTCAATGATTATGAGTTGATTTGATAATAGGTAAGTAGCTACAAAGTAATAATGGTGTTTTAGGATAAGAGAAGTCATAGGTTGGTTAGTAACTGCCAGATAAACTATGCAGAGTACTAACGATAAAAGACTTGGGTGAAAGGAGAAGTTACGTTGTGAGAGGGTGGTAAGAGAAACTTTCACTGAGGTAAAATTAGAATTTGGCTTTTAATGTAGGGAAGTAGAAATGCGGCCTTCTGGTGTTTGTGGGAATGGAATTCTGAGGAAAAGGGCACAATGTAAACAAAAGCATAGGTGCGGGAAATACGAGGAACACGCAGGCACTGAAGAAATAGCTTCATTACAGAAGCAGGAAGCAAGTATGACTACAAAATTTTAGCATATGGAAGAAACACAATCCAATTAGTTCATTTTACAGAATGAGTCATAGAAGAAGTATAGCCAGAGTGCTTCTCAGAAGCAAGAGTGGCAAGAATTTGTCTTGCATACTTTGGACACGTCATCAGGAGGGACCAGTCGTTGAAGAGGGATATCACGCTTGGTAAAGTAGAAGGTCAACAAAAAAGAGGAAGACCCTCAATGATATTGATTGACACGGTGGCTGCAACAATGGGCTCAAACATAGCAATGATTTGGAGGATGGTACAGGACAGGACAACATTTCATTATATATAAGGTTGCTATGAGTCAGAGCCAACTGGATGGCAACTAACAACAGCAAAAATTGAGAAAATAAAAATCTTAGTTACTTGGTTTTCTAAAATCCAAGTATCTCATTAAAGTGCAAATCAGGATTAAACTGCTGGTCCCCCAGGAGTCTTTGTTGCTCTTTCCCTTTTATCGGGAATGACAACGATTTCATGATAGGCACCAACCTTGAACAAGGGCCAGTGCTTCCTTTTAAAGCATAATAAAATGGTTTTTTAAGTCACATTTGGCTTCTTAAAAAGTCGTCCTTTAACTGATTATTGATGCTTGCTGGATGAGAGAGTAATTACATCATTGCCAGATATTTTCAATCACTGTCTTTCCATAGGAAACCCTGGTGGTGTAGTGGTTAAGAGCTATGGCTACTAACCAAAAGGTCAGCAGTTTGAATCCACTAGGCACTCCTTGGAAACTCTATAGGACAGTTCTGCTCTGTCCTATAGGGTTGCTATGAGTAGGAATGCACTCAATGGCAATGTGTTTGGTTTGGTTTTTGGTTGTTACATAAATGGTGCTTCAGACACTATTATGAGATTATTGTTAAGGTTTTTTTTTTTTTTTTTGGTGATTGTTGAACAGGTGAAATAAAGATAAAAGCATTCTTTTAGGAAAATGAATTTGGTGGGAGTTTTATGAATGATTTCAGAGAATACCAAGTAATTCTGAAGCTGGAATTAGAGTAGGAGTGCTACTGTCTGGTATTCAGCATGAGCTGATGAGTGAGTGAATCAGAGTGGTGGCATTTGAATAATAAAGAATTGATAAAAGGCAACAGCCTGTAACAAAGGTAAAGAGAAAGCTAGATTCTTTTCGTTTTTTCCTCTACTATATCTCTAATGCCTAGAAAAATATCTGGGCATAGTTAAAGTTTAATAAATTTTTGTTTAATAAAGTCCAGTTACAGGGACTTATTTCCACAAAGAAAAACCAAGAAAAGTGAAAATTATTTCATCCTGCTGGTGAAGGCAGTTAGTGCAGCCAATTTATTACACAGATTAAAGGCCACAATATCAAGAGTCTTTGGGTGGTGCAAACAGTTTGTTCTCATCTACTAACCAAAAGTTTGGAGATTCGAATCCAGCTAGCTGTACCACAGAAAGCCTGGTGATATGCTTCCATAATAGCCATAATAGCCCTGTGGACAGTAGTTGTACTCTGAAGTACATGGGGTCACCATAAATTGGAATCCACTTGATGGCAATTTTTTTAAATCAGGAGTCTATATGTATTCAGGCTACCTTAACTTATTATTAATAAAAATAAATAAAGTGAACCAATACATTATTAGGTTAGTTTGCATTCTTGTTGATAAGAGTATTCTAGCAATCTGAAAATAGTTCACAATATCCCTAAGTATTCAAGATTAACTCCTACCAAAAATGTTTCTGAGGAACATAATTTAAAGTTTCATGTTTAATAATACTTTATAATATATATTATAATAAACTTATAAAAGTAACTGTCTCCAGGATCATAGGTGTTGTACTCATAGGGGGTTTGCAGTTGGCACTAGATCAATTTCCTTTTGGGGTTGTGGAAGAGAGAAGATACAAGCTTGAGGAGTTAGTCCAGCTGCAGAGACAAACAGCAGAGATTCAACGAGGAGGCAAAACCCTAAAACTCAATTTATCAGAGCTATCTCCAGTTACGGCTCAGTTGGTCTATATGTGTCAGAACTCTCCTCTAGCACAAGGGCCCAGGGCATTCTAACCAAGCTTAGTTTGGGAACTGAGGCTTTGTATGTAATTTGAACATGCCATTATGATCTGCAGGCAAAAGATCTTACTGCACATGGAGATGTAAATAACTCCATCTAAGACAAAGCAAGACTAGAGAAAAAATGTTCCAATTAAAATCTAACAAAGAGTCCAAGCAGATAAAGACAAGTGTAGGACAGCTAGACAGTAAGTAGAGGGGACATTTGGTCAGTAGGGCAGAGTGGAGATTCAGCTAGCAAATCTGCCTTAGACACCAGGCTGGGAAAATTTTAGCAACAGCTATGGCCTTATCTGGGGCATCAAAGAAGCTATTAAGGAATCAAAATCAGTCAGACACAAGATAAAGTAATTCCAGTTTCCAAATGGTGACCAGATCCTGGCAACAGACAATTCTCAAAAGTTCAGAGGAGTCTGCTGTGACCTAGGAGGTACTCCACAGGAAGCAGTTCCCAGCCCTGAATATAGACAGGGCTTCATTTCCCAGGGAAGAGCCTGTTATGGATTGAACTGTGTCCCCTCAAAATGTTTGTCAACTTGGTTAGGTCATGATTCCCAGTATTGTGTGGCTGTTCTCCATTTCGTGATTTGATGTATTTATCTTATGTGTTGTAAATCCTAACCTTTATGATGTTAATGAGTCAGGATTAGATGCAGTTATGTTAATGAGGCAGAATGCAATCTACAGGATTAGATTGTGTCTTGAGTCAATCTCTTTTGAGATATAAAAGAGAGGAGAGGGATCTCATTACTACCAAGAAAAAAGAGCAAGGAGCAGGGCACGTCTTGGGACCTGGGGTACCTGTGCTGAGAAGCTCCTAGACCAGGGGACATCGATAACAAAGACCTTCCTCCAGAGCTGACAGAGACAGAAAGCCTTCCCCTGGAGCTGGCACCCTGAATTTGGACTTTTAGCTCCTTAACTGTGAGAGAATAAACTTTTGCTTGGTAAAACCATCCACTTGTGGTATTTCTGTTACAGCAGCACTAGATAACTAAGGCAGAGCCCTAGAGAGATTAAAGTAGACTTTTATCCTTTGAAGACTGTGAAATTCGATAATGTATAGAAACAACACTTTCAAAATCTGAACCACATGCTCTGTGACACAAACCATGTTATCTAAATAGAGGTACTGCAAGATGAGCTGTGCCTCAAGGAACAACTTGAATCCCAGTAAACAGCAGTGGAACACAGCGTCCTGGGCCAAGATCTCTATAAAGGTCAACTGGGACAGAACTAGAAAATATAATCAGTGTGTGAACAGCATGTCTTGGGCCATATTAACAGGGAGGGAGACTTGCTTCTTTGCCATAATATATGGGAAATTGAGTAAGAATATTACTTTCTCCCTTGACAAGGCTAGTGTAGGAAAAGTCAGGAAGAGTGGCCCCAGCTTTGGGTATTTGGGAACTCAGAGTCAGAAGAACAAAACTGAGCCCTGATTAATGACACTAAGAAATCAAAGTTTTGAAAGCATGTTTTCTCCTTTATAAATCCATTTGATTGCCCATCAAGTCATAACAGTTCCCATTTCAACAAACTTCTGGCCATCTGTTCTATCTTCAGATTTGAGACTTATACCCTTTAAATTTCTGTCTGGAACTGAAGCTCAGTTCCAGACATTTCCTTCTTATAAATGGCATAGCATTCCTCACTTTGGGCCGCCATGAAGTAATTCTTCCAGTCACTTACAATTCCTAAAAAATAATAAAAAGAAAACATGAAAGAGTAAAATATTTCCATTATGAAGGAAAAGTTAGCATATACCAAGAAAAAAATGTTAAAAGACATATAGACTTTCCTTGTATATGAATATTTTATAATGTCGTTTCATTTTTATTTGTAATTCTTCCTATCTAGAAATGTGGTTTTTAATTAAACGTAAACTCGGACTTCTGAATACATTCTGAAAAGGGTTAACTTTCTTGTCCAGACTTATAAGCTGTACAATCATTTCCTGAGAAAGATCCTTTTAGTGTTTTGAACTGTCCTCGGTCACAGGGTTACCACTGAACACTCTGGATCAATGGTCAAGGCATGTTTTATGTTAGGAGTTATGTTTGGAAAATGTACAAAGAACTGATCATTGGCACCATTAAACTATGAAATAGAAAGCTGATATGTATCGTTTCCCAGAATTCATAAATAAGGATGTTATGATACTGGGTGGATACTTGTTTCCCTCACTAGACTTATAATTTATTTATATTTTAGGTGAGAAGAATAACATTAAAGTCAAACATTATATAACATGCCTGATCATCTTTTTTAAAGTAAAACCTTGGGGATATAAATTACATTTAATCACTTATGCTTAGATGCTTATCAACATTTATTTGAAAATGAATAAATTTGTAATGTACTGTCAATGTGCTAAAAGTAAAATGTTTATTGCTGTCATTTTATAAAATATTAACTGTAGCCTATTGATTTGTAAGCTATATTAGCCCATGATGGTTTGATAAATCTTCTAAATCCTTTTAATGAAAAGCATATCCACTGGCAAGTTTTTAATTTTTTCCTGGATATTAGGCTCTGTTTTGTTTTCCAGATGACAATGACTGTTTGGAATGTATATGTAAGGGACTGATGTGAACATATTTGGATTAGTGAAATCTGTAAGGATTTCATTAAAGGCAGAGGAAAACACAGATTTAAGCATTATGGAATTACATATAAAAGTCTTTCAGTCGTTTTGTACTTTGAGTATATATTCCACATTATATACAAACACAGTTGCTTCACAGAAGTTAAGAGAAGTATAAAAACTTATTTTGATAAATGCTGGCCAAAGCCCCAGATTTTCTGTTTTGTTAAAATTTTGCAGAAGTATAAACTTCACACATCTTCTATCCTCTCTCTTACTACGATGTGACTAAATGATGACATTGATTTTTCCAATGTGGCATATGTCCAGACTGAGTGTCCCTGGCTCTTTGTTCATACTTCACTTTGAACCCTTATGAGCATCCATTTATATGCATGCCTCTCGTGCTAGATTGTGTACTTCCTGAGGCGGATACATGTGCCATTCATCCTTCCATGTTCTATAGAAAATGTGCTGCATATAGGTGTTCATAAATAGCTTTTTCCATATGTGAATTAATGAATGTATGGGTATCCTTAAAATGGTTATTGAATGCTTAAATGAATGGATGAACGGATGAATCTTCAGCTATTTAGAATAATGATACTTCTGCATGTGTTCCTTATGCCTAGAAAGTATCCTAAATGCTTACATATTATTAACATAATCCTATCCCAAAATTTGTGAGATAGATAATATTTTCTCCATTTCATTAGTGATGTAGCTGGAGCTTTTATAGGTTAATTAGCATATTCAGGGTCATAGTTTCAAGATATGCCATAGCCTGGATACACCCTATCTGACCACAAAGGTCATGCTCTTTACCAACTCCAGAGGAATGTAAAGGCTGCCTTCATTATTAGAATAAAGTATTATTTTCCTTTGAAGTTGGAACAGGCATGGAATCCAGACACTGAGCTTGTCTTCTCTACCTCCAATCCTAATAATATATCGTGGGGTGATGTAAATTTTCATATGACTGGTGACAAAACTATTCTGGAAGTTATGTTCAATGATCTGGCATACTGGGAATTTGACTTGTTCAATAAAGAACAGATGTTTTTATGATGCTGCCATCAGAAATAGATGTGTGTGTGTAGGTATTTAATCTTTTCTATTTAACCTTATGATGCATCACTTACAATGAACTTTTTCTTATACTAGAGGCTGTATTTTAAAAGTTAAATGTAGTGCTTTTGGGGGGAAACTCCCCCAAAGGAAAACCAAAGACATAATCTGAAAATAATAGGAGTATTTGGTATTTTAATAAATTATAGAGAAAATCATTTTAGAAACTAATTAAACCATATAGCTCTTTTTAAAAATCAAGAATTTTTTAAAATTTTGTTTACTGTACTTTAGATGAAGGTTTACAGAATAGTTTCTCATTAAACAGTTAGTACACATATTGTTTCATGACAATGGTTAACAACCCCACAACATGTCAACACTGTCCCTTCTCAACCTTGGGTTCCCTATTACCAGCTTTCCTGTCCCCTTCTGCCTTCTAGTCCTTGTCCCTGGACTATTGTGCCCTATTAGTCTCGTTTTGTTTCATGCGGCTATCTAACCTTTGGCTGGATGGTGAACCTCGGGAATGACTTCCTTACTGAGCTAAAAGGGTGTCCAGGGGCCATACTCTCAGGGTTTCTCCAGTCTCTATCAGGCCAGTAAGTCTGGTCTTGTTTTGTGAGTTAGAATTTTGTTCTACATTTTTCTCCAGCTCTGTCCGGACCCTTTGTTGTGATCCCGGTCAGAGCAGTCAGTGGTGGTAGCTAGGCACCATCTAGTTGTTCTGGACTCAGTCTGGTGGAGGCCGTGGTAGTTGTGGTCCATTAGTCCTCTGGACTAATCTTTCCCTTGTATCTTGTTTTCTTCATTCTCCCTTGCTCCCGAAGGGGTGAGACCAGTGGGGTATCTTAGATGGCTGTTCATAGGTTTTTAAGACCCCAGACACTACTTACCAAGGTAGAATGTAGAACATTTTCTAAAATCAAGAATTTTGATGCCATATTCATATACACAATATATTCCTAGAGTTTTGTTTACTTCCCAGCACATTAACTGAAATTCTACCCCTTTCCCTCCAATTCAATAAAGGATATTAAAAATAGTGGGCAGTACTATTAAGTGGATAATTTCTCAAATTATTTGTTAATATTTTATAAAATGTATTGTTTAATTATTAAAACACACTTTTTACACATACCATATACAGGTTTGTCACAACACCGTATATGAATATAATAAATGGCAGTAGCCACCTGCTTAAGTGTTTCATCAGTAAATGTCATATTCTCCTATTGTCATCTTTCTAAGTTAAATTTGTATTCTATGTTGCCTATAATTCAGACAGATGTTTTTCAGGGAACAAAACTTCCCATATAATTTTTTAAAAAATGTTCTTCCTTTTGGTGAATTCTTACCGGAATGACCATTGCTTTCTCAATGATTCCCATTGCCGTCAAGTTGATTCTGACTCTCAGTGACCCTGCAGGACAGAGTAGAACTGCTTCATAGGGTTTCCAACGAGTAGCTGTTGGATTTTAACTGCTGACCTTTTCGTTAGCCGCGATAGCTCTTAACCATTGCATCACGAGGGCTCTTCTAAATGATACAGGGACTTTAAAGAAGATGGTACTTCTTTTAGTCATCTAGTGCTGCTATAACAGAAGTACCACAAGTGGAAGGCTTTAACAAGGCGAAGTTTATTTCCTGACAGTAAAGTAGGCTAAAAGTCCAAATTCAGGGCATCAGCTCCAGAGGAATTCTTTCTCTCTCTGTCGGCCTTCTTCTAGTCAGTGTTCCCCCAGACTAGGAGCTTCTCTGAGCAGGGACCCCAGGTCTAGAAGATGCGCTCTGCTCCTAGCACTGCTTTCTTGGTGGTATGAGGTCCCCGTCTCTCTGCTCACTTCTCTCTTTTATATCTCAAGACATTGCCTCAGGACACAATCCAATCTTGTAGATTGAGTCCTGCCTTACTAACACAACTGCCACCCATCCTCCCTCATTAACATCACAGAGGCAGAATTTACAACATATAGGAAAATCACACAATACCAGGAATCATGGCCCAGCCAAATTGATACACACATTTTGGGGGGAACATAATTCAATCCATGACAGTACTGTATTGACTGATATTAGTTACTACTGAGAGGGGAAGAAGACTCATGCCAAATTAGACCAAGCTTTAAGGGAGTAGGAATGACAAATTTGGAATGGTTCACATCACCATTGTCAAAACTAATTTCACTTAGCAGAATAATAAAAAAGAGAAGAAATATTTATCAAGCACTTAAAGTATTCTGCTAACAGCTTCACATGCATTATTTCATCTAATAATTTCTCATCTAATTCAGCAACTTGTTATGGTAGGCATTTTTAGTGTCTTTTCAGAGAGGAAGAAATTGATGCCGAGACAGGTTAAGTAACTTGGTGGCGATCACACAGCTAATCATTACCTCAGTGTAATTCATAAGAAAGTAGAGAGAGAAATGAAATTCAGTAAATATTTTACCTTTGCGCATAAAAGAGGATTTGCTGTGATCCATCACTGTACTTGGAAGGTATGTATAATTTACCAGAGGGTTGTCTTTCATCATTTCATATGAGGTGTGATGAATAATTCTATCCAAAATCTCATCATTTAACTTCTTTCCTAGAAACTGAATCACTTTCTTGATTTCCTGCTTTGGATTCTATCAGTGGGTAAAGAGACACATCCAAGAAAATAGTAACCAAGTAAGTCATTAACATAATGTAAAAAAATAATCAAATATTTATATTCCCCTTTTTTCAATTTTGACTCTGAATGTTAAAGGGGAATCTATGTTTTATTAGATCAATTCCTCATAAAATTTTAAGAAATTACTAATAAAAATTTCTACTTATAAAAATTGAGTAGAAATACCTTATTAATTCTCTTACATTTTTAGTTCATGTTCAAAGCACAATAAGAACAAACCCTTGAACAGTAATATTAAACTTAGTTTGGAATCAAATTTGAATTGTGAATGTTTTAGGAACCCATTATCTTTTTAGTATTCTGGCTTTTAATTTTTCTGTTACTAATCAAGTTACTTCCCTATTTATTGATAACAATATTTTTAAAAAGAAAGATAATAAATTCATGGACATCTTTAAATATGTGTATTCTGTTACATAAAAACTGATCAAGATTGCAAAGTGGCAGTATTGTAGTCAGTCAGTGAGGTTATATGAGATGTGATTATTGCTAAAAAATAGACTGATTAGACCTTGCTTGGACACAAAGCAGAAGAAAAAAAAGGACTTCAGTGAAGATTCAAAGATATCAGTGCTTAAGTTAGTAATTAACCATTGGGAATAAAAAGAACAAAATCTGAAAATCAATTATTTTTTTCACATTCTAAAGATATAAACTTAACATTTGAAACTTTTAAGGAAGCTACTAAATCTGCATAGATATGTATAGAAAGATCTTTGAGAACGTGGCATCAAAGCTGAGTAGAGAAGGATGAGTCAGAATTTACCAGAGCAATAAGTTTCTTGTGGTTTTGAAGAGTGAATATCTAGTAGAGAAAATAGCAGTTAAAATTCTTGGCAGTATAGAGTACTGATGTGTACTCAAGAAAGAAAGAAAAAAAATGCTTAGAGTTAGATTTGTGTCAGTCATCAGAGTGGGAGAGGCTATAAAACTAGAGAGATGTGTTGGGGTGAAACTGAGACCATCGTGGGATGTCTTGCTGAATGGTTTGGATTATATCTTTTTTACAGTAAGGAAGCAAGAATATTTAAAAATTTGTATGGTTAACTGAGTATATTTGTGTGTACATATATGCATGCCTATATGTGTATACATGTATGTGCATGTATATGTTTTGGCAGGGAGTACTCCTTTGGACTTGAAACACTTACTAATGAAGATCAAAGATCACAGCCTTCAGTATGGATTACACCTCAACATAAAGAAAACAAAAATCTTCACAACTGGACCAATAAGCAACATCATGATAAACAGAGAAAATATTGAAGTTGTAAAGGATTTCTTTTTACTTAGATCTGCAATCGACACCCATGTAAGCAACAGTCAAGAAACCAAAGGATGCATTGCACTGAACAAATCTGCTGCAAAAGACCTCTTTAAAGTGTTAAAAGCAAAATATTTAAGGACTAAGGTGCACCTGACCCAGCCATGGTGTTCTCAATTGCGTCATATGCATGTGAAAGCTGGACAATGAATAAGGAAGACTGAAAAAGAATTGAAGCCTTTGAATTACACTGGTGGCAAAGAATACTGAATATACCATGGACTGCCAGAAGAATGAAGAAATCAAAGAATTAACTGCTGTTTTCTCTACTAGACATTCTCTCTTCTAAACCATAACAAACTTCTTGGAAGAAGTACAGCCAGAATGCTCCTTAGAAGTGAGGGTGCAGAGACTTCTTTTCACATGCTTTGGACATGTTATCAAGAGGGACCAGTCCCTGGAGAAGAACATCATGTTTGGTAGCGAGTGAAACAAAGGAAGACCCTCAACGAGATGGATTGACACAGTGACTGCAACCATGGGCTGAAGCATAGCAACTATTGTGAGGATGGCACAGGACAGGGCAGTGTTTCGTTCTGTTGTACATAGGGTCGCTATGAACCGGAACTGACTCGAGGGCACCTAACAACGTAACAACAGAATAGCTAGAGAGAACTGGGGAATAAAAGTAGCAATATTGTGCTGAGAAGAGGATTCCTTTGCTACTCAAGTTTGGAAAACTTGAATATGTAGCATTAACTTTTTTTTTTTTTTATGAAGTACTTCCATATCTAGCTCAGTTCTCATGGTCACAAGTAAATAAAACGTTTGAACATTTAATCAAATGTGAGTAATGGGATAGAGTACTATTGAAGAATTGACTTGCAGTCTGTAGCGTACCTTGCCGTTATTCTCCCAGAAAGATTTATGCACAAGATCAATTGGTAAATGTGTCTTCACAAGCCTGGGTGCTTCATTCTTTTCTAATTGTTCAATACCTGGGAAAATTTAGTTGTTTATATGTTATGGATTGAATTATGTCCCCCCAAAAAATTTGTGTCAACTTGTCCAGTCCATGCTTCCCAGTATTGTGTGATTGTCCACCATTTTGTCATCTGATGTGATTCTCCTATGTGTTGTAAATCCTACCTCTATGATGTTAATGAGGTGGGATAAGAGGCAGTTTCGTTAATGAGGCAGGACTCAATCTACAAGATTAGGTTATGTTTTAAGTCAATCTCTTCTGAGATAAAGAAGAGAGAAGCCAGCAGAGAGACACGGGGACCTCATACCACCAAGAAACAAGAGCTAGGAGAACAGCATGTCCTTTGGACTGGAGGTCCCTGTGCTGAGAAGATCCTTGACCAGGGAAGATTGATAATGAGGACCTTCCCTAAGAGCCAACGGAGAGAGAAAGCCTTCTGCTGGTGTTGGCACCCCAAATTCAGACTCCTAGCCTCCTAAACTGTGAGAGAATAAACTTCTGTTGGTTAAAGCCATCCATTTGTAGTATTTCTGTTATAGCAACACTAAGTGACTAAGACAATGTATAAAGATATATTAGAGTCTCCAAGGAATCTGCATTTTCTCATCTTCCCAACCAACTTTTCCATCCATTTTTCGAGCAATATATAATTGTATATGACTCATTCATTCAGAACAATCCTGTTTCAATTGTTTATAATAATTTATTGCAATGCTAAGTCACTCAGTCTATTTCTATCACAATATCCTTTTTAATGTTCTGCATAACACTTGTTATTACTTATTGTTTAGTATTTTATTATTTACATTTTATCTGCAAATATTACTTCTATTTATTTATTTACTGCCAGTTTTCCTGTGTCCCTTTCTTCCACCTCTTATCCCTTTCCCCCAATCATGTTCAATCAATAGAGAAACCATGAAAACAGGTATCTGACATGTTTTGTTTACCAATGAATGGTCAGTACAGAGAATAGTGTATGGCAAATGGTTAGTATGAAGAAGTAAACACTTAATATAGATAAGGTTGCCAGGCATAGCACATAAAGTATAAGATGTTCAGTTAAATTTGAATTTTTGATAAACAACAATTTTTTTTCTTAGTCTAAGTATCCCATATGCAATATTTGGGACCTACTTATACTAAATAAAATTGCTTGTCTGAAATTCAGTTTAACTAGATGTCCTGTATTTTATAAGGAAACGCTGACTACAGACCCATAAAATACCTCCAGGGATCTCATTACACTTCTACTGACTTGGTCGCTAGTGCCATTTTAACCAGGATATAGAAATCAGAAAGTGTTAGCTTCCCTAACTCACTATTCCTCAATGTTCATGACATGAATTTATGTCTGTTTCTTTTAGGATGCCTTTCTCCTTCAATTGTTCCTTTCCCTTCCTCACCCTCTACCCCCACCAACTTCACTAAAAGATTTCTCAGCTTCCTCAGTCTTGTAATTGCTTTACCACATGATTTCTTATGAATGAACCATTTCAGTCCACAAATATGAATGTTGAGAATATATAGACATCACAGGTATCCACCTTCAGGCTCCAGAGTAAATCTGAGTGCCAACACCTTCCTTTTTGGACCTGCTGCACCTCATTCACTCACTCACTCTCTAATGATGTGACACAATCTCCCTGCCTCCCACTGGGAATCCCTGACTCTCCGGTCCCTAAATATGTTTGTTCTGTCACTTCTTTATTTCACGCTTTACTTTGGGCCTGGAGTCTCCACTCACTTTTGCACTAATTTTGGTTGCTTGCTTCTAAAATATTCCTTCAGTACCAAGCTCCAGCATTTGCTCTCCGATCTCTGGTAACCAACCACATAGCAGGCATGAAACCCTTTCAGCTGTCCCTACCTGCCTGTGGGAGGAGCTGACTGAGCCTACTTGCAGATGGACACCCCAACTAGGGGAGGGAATCTAGATACTGTTCTTTAAATTGTAGCTTTTTTATGGCATTCACCATCATTTAAATTGTTTTATAGTTTTTATAGGTGTGAATATTTTTTCATATTATTTAGCTATAAGCTTCTTCAGTGTTGAACTCATGTCAGTTTCAAGTTTACTCATTCAAAAAACCCAGAATGCTCATGAAGATTTTATATGCCTACCATCAATTTTCTGCATCACCTTCTCTCTTCTCTCGACATAATGACAGAAGCACCTACATTTTATGATAAAAAAAAAAGAAGGGTATGGCAGTAACATGGTTGGTAAGAACATACACAATTCAGCTTTGTGAGCATTCAGCTTTTGTCCTGAGAGATCCCACCAATTAATTCTTGAGAAAAAATGAGAAGGCTTGTTTACTGTCTTTTCCAGGGAATTTAGTTTCATCTGGTAATCCAAGAATGAACTTTGTGGTTACATGTCAAACCTCAAAAATCCAAATATTCTAGAGTTCGTATAACAGAAAAAGGAAACATAAATCTTTCAAATTTCTTAAAATCACCCTTGTTTATAATGGACTATAATATTGTCCCGGAAAATACAGACTTAACAAAGGTTTTGTAAGACAACTGATAGGACTAAAAAGACTAAATATCCTAATGCACATGCCCAGCCTTCATATGCATTCCATATTCTTTAGGAAGTCTGGGCAAAAACTGGGGCATGGTGCAAATTTGACATTTTCCTGAGATGAATAATATTTGGTCTCCTTATAATTAGTAAAAGTACCCCATTTTTCCTCATAGGAAATCTTCTATCATCCTTCTCTTTGTTAATCATAATCCTTATGATTAGTAAAAGGATAGACCCATATTTTTTATATATGTCTTCCCTCAACTATCACTTGGAAGAATTCACAGTGTACTTGGCATATAGATACAGATATATCCAAGTATAGAGTACCGTTATACTATAAGAGGTTAAAATAAATAAATAAATAAACACTGTGGATCTGAGAAAAGAATGAACATTTCTTTCTGTTGGAGAAGGAAAATGTTTCAAGGAGAAAATAGATTTAATGGTTATAATAATTTCTCCAATGCAAATTGGTTATTGCTGATTTTCCTCCTGTTTCCCTGGGAAAAGTGAAAGGCTTTTTGAAAGTGTATTCCACATACTGGAAGCCACAGGGTATTGAAACACTGGCTGCTACACTAACCAATCTCTGAAAGAGTCTCCCCAGACTGAGAAACCACCAAAGAAGATTCCGTTTTGTCAGGTCTTAAAAATAAGATAGTTGATGTCATTTCTCTTTCTGACTGCTTGAAAATAGAGATAGGCTTCCCCAAGGCAAATTTGTGTTTTCCAAGCCTGATGTCTTCCCAAGAGTATTATTTTTAATGGCTTCTTCTGGAAAAAAATTGAGAAACTATTTTCCATATGTGGTTAAAAATATAGAAAATCACTCATTTACCAACAGGCAAAATGGGACTAATTTACAATCACCCTTCTGCCTTCTCATCCCAGATTCCCAGATGCATATGAGAGAACCAAGCCTCACTCCTTGAATGCCTTTGTCTCTTGCCTAGAGGAGACCATAATCCTGATTCCCTCCTAGCTCACTGACTATTTATTTTCCATCCCTTGCTAGCTTCTCTACTAGACCTCTACATGTTGGTGTTCTTCACTGTTCAGCCAGCTCTTCTCATATTGCTCTGCATTCTTTCTCTGGGTGATCACATTGATTTCAGTGCCCAATTATCCTGACAGTTACCTGATGACTATCCAGCAGCAAGTTCCAAACACCATACTTTCAACTGAACAACTGAAATATTCAATGACATCTCAAACATTAACATTTCCAAAACTAATTATTAATAGCTCCCTCCACCCCAACTTGCTCCAAATGTATTCCTGCCCAAGGCCTTGCCATATAAATAAAGGGCTTTATAGTTCACCAGGTTGATGAAAATAAAATTATGGGAGTCTTCTTTGATACTTTCATTTTCCTCATATTTCTAGTACAGTCTACCAGCAAGTCTAAAAAAAATAACTTGTCTGGTATTTTAAACTCCATCTCCACACAACAACCAGTGGAATCTTGGTATTAAATAAACAATAAAAAAGAATTATAATTCTTTCTTGTCTAAACTCCTTCAATGTCTTTCCCACTATTTTAAGAATAAAATTCAGTAACGTTTTAAGAATTACAAGCCTTGCATAATCTGTTCCTACCTAGTCTCCAATTGTTTTGCATCCTACTTTTCCCTTAATTCATTGGTCTTTTTAATCCCTGGACTACACCAAGCTCTTACACATAATATTTCATCTTCTTGGAATATGCTTTCCTCAACAGTGTGCATACTTTTAGATCTCAGTTTAGAGTAGATTTCCCTGAAAATCTAATCTAAAGTAAGATCTCTTGTTGTTCTCTTTCATAGAGCCCTATACATTGGATATACGTAAGACTAACAGCACTGATATATTGTTAGCTCATTTACTTATTTACTGTCACATCATTACAGTAAACTCCTTGGCTATATAATTTCTTACTTATTAATCATTTCATATCTAATCAATAGCACAGGGCATAATCCTTAAGAAGCACTCAATATTTGTGGAATTAAAAATTAATTGCATTAATAATACTGTGTTTTAAGAGGAGTTAGTATTTCTTTACTTACTTATTTAAATATAGTAATGTCCTAAATTAGGAGCTTATGGCTTAAATATGCGAAATTCTACACAACAAAATTAATACAAGATAAAGAACACTTTGATCATCAACCAAATTTTCAGGTGTTTTCTACAAAATTTTTGGTTATCGTAAGTGGATATGCAATGGCCTAAACCACAATTTCTCTAGGTGCCTTGGTCATTGTATTGCTTACAAACTTCCAATTTCTGCTACCATATTTTCTCCAGGGAAACCGTGGTGGCATAGTGGTTAAGTGCTATGGCTGCTAACCAAAAGGTCAGCAGTTCTACTCTGTCCTATAGGGTTGCTAAGAGTCGGAATTGACTTGATGGCAATGAATTGGGTTTTGTTTGGTTTATTTACTCCAGTGTCTTTGAATGTAAGCCACAAGTACCAAAATGAAAGTGCTATGTAAATAATACTATAGCATTATAATGACTAGATGACTTTAAAGTTACCTGAATTTCTTAGTCTGGGGAGAGACATGTCCAACGTTGGAACAGTAGCAGTAATAAAATCTTGCTTACATTTTTTAATATCTCTGTCTTTTAGGCTTCGTCCACAATTTCACTAATCCAGATGGTACCTTTGGCAAAGGAAACATTTTCATAACCAGCATCCAAATCTGGGGGAAAAAATAGCAGTTGGAAGCCCACCATCTTAACATATCTAATTAAAACTTAATTCTACAGAGCCTCTTTTTCTTTGTCCCAAATGCCCATTTCAACATCCTAGAAGTAGACGACTGCACTGAATACTAACTTTGCTTAGGATGATGGTGATATAGGGGTCCATTATCAGGAAACAAGGGAGGAAGTCAGACCTGCATTTATCAGTCCAGTAAACTTACCTGATTTGGGGCAAGTGTCTATCACCATGTCATCTGGTCTGCTTTGGAATTGTTCAATATTTTCTCACTTGTTTGCAAAAGCATAGATCATGGGATAGCCATAAACCATCTTTAGATTTTTTGACAGATCATTTTTTTGGGAATTCATTGTTGTACCAGGTTGTACAAATATTTAAGAGGCTGTTTCTGACATTCAAAACATGGAGAAATAAAGAGAAAAAAAATCAAAAGCTGTATAACTAATGCTATTTCTAAGATACTGTGATTTTATGTTTAGAGAAATTGGACTTTAATACACTGAGCACACAGAGATCTAAATACAAAGGGTATTTTTACAGGCATAAAGTCACAGACTACAAGGGTACCAAGTGGCTCAGTGACAAACACAAGAAAGGTCTTTAGTGGAAGCTTTGGAAATAAATAGAACTGCAAGTCTTACTTTAAATAAAGACACGTTTCACAATAATATAGTAAGAGAAAAGTCCGGACTTAAGGCAAAATAAATTCATTACTTATCATTAGCACTTCCATTGTGCCTTACTTTTCCTAGGAAATCTGCTGTCATCCTTATCTTTGTTGTTCTGTATATAATTTATCTTTTCTTTCCTCCTTAGGCTGCTTCTACTATGTTTTCTTTATCATTGGTTTTTAGCAATAAAATTATGATTCACCTTGGTTTAGTTTTTCTCCCCCCCCCCACCCCCCGTCATATTTTTCTTACTCCCACTTTGCTTTCACTGAGCTTGTTGGTTTTGTGGATTTATGGTTTTCACTAAACATGGAAAATGTTTGGCCACTATTTCTTAAATATTTTTTCTTTTCCTCCTCTTCCTCTGAGACTCCAATTACATCTCTACTAGGTGGCATGAAGTTGTCCATAGGTCACTCATGCTCTGTTCATTTATTTTTTTTTCCAATATTGTTTTTAAATAGCTATTGCTGTCTTCAATGCACTAATCCTTGCTTCTGCAATATCTAATTTATGGTTAATCTCAACCAGGGTATTTTTATCTCAGACATTGTGGTTTTCATCTCTAGAAGTTCAATTCTGGATTTTTAAAAATTATTTTTTACGTCTCCACTTCTTGAGCATATGGAATACAGTTATAATGGCTGTTTCACTGTCTTTATCTGCTAATTCTAATATCTGTGTCAGTTCTAGATTATTTTTAATTCATTGATTTTTCTTTTCATTATGGATTGTGTTCTGCTTGTTAGCATGCTTTATTATTGGACCCCAGGTGTTGTGAATTTTTCTTTGTTGGGTGTTGTATACTTTCATATTTCTATGAATATTCTTGAGCTTTGTTCTAGGACACAGTTAAGTTAGTCAGTAACAGTTTGATACATTTAGGTTTTGTGCTCTATCTAGGGCTAATTATTCCCCATTATTGAGGCAAAACCCTTCTGAGTAATCTCTCCAATGCCTGTGAATAATGAAATTTTCCTGTCTGGCTATGGAGAATAGGCACTTTCTCCAGCCCTATGTGTGCATCTGACACTATTCCCTAGTTTTCCAACGGTCTTTCCTCAACCTGCAGTAGTTTCCTCATATGCACAAGGGTGGATTATCCAATAGGCAAAGTAAGCACGGTGCTTACCCGTGTTTACCAGGTCATCTGTAGTTAACAATTTCCCACGACATCAAAGATTCTGCTTCTAGGCATGTCTGGCATCTGTCTCTCTCCCAATCTCACAGCGCCTTCCTTATAGAATGAAACCTCTTTTCAAATTTACAATCCCTGACAAGGATGGATTACCCAGTAAGCAAGGTAAACATGGGCTTTTTTGTGCTTATTTACTAATCTGTAGTGAACAATTTCACATGGGAAATTCTACAGATTGGTAAATAAGCCCATGCTTATCTTTCTTGCTGGGTAATCCACCCCTGCAAACTCATATCATTACTCAGCTAAAGTCTCCAGGAGTCCTTTCTGCAGACCTCGAAGTTTCCTATCTGTACTCTCGTAATCTATCCTGTGAACTCTATCCAGTTTTGTCTTTCTGGACCGCCAACTTCTTCTCCTTAATCTAGGGAGTTCCCCAGACTTTGCCTGGGTTTCTTCTTCCTGAGTGTGGCCTGGGAATTCTCTCAAGGCAGTAAACTGGGGCTGCTGTAAGATTCAACTTTTCTGTTTCCTGTTTCTCAGAGTTCTGTGTCCTTTGTTGACTAATTTTCAATTTCTTAAAAGACATTGATTCATACATTTGGTCCAGTGTTTTGACTGTTTCAGGAAGGAGAGTACATCCAGTTCCTATTATTCCATCTTGCCTAGAAGCAGAAGTCTGCTTTCATTTCTAAAATATCTAGCAACTAGCAGTGTCTACTAACCGCCGTCTCACTTACAGTGTAGTAAACATAGTTATAAAGAAGTTCTGGTTTATTTAAAATATAACTTAACCTGGGGTATTTTCTCAATTGCACTTAAATTTATACTTTTTTTCTTTTGTTTATTGTTGTAGTTTAAGTGAAAGTTTACATTTCAAGTTAGTTTCTCATACAAAAATTTATACATACATTGTTATGTGACCCTAATTGCTCTCCCTATACTGTGACAGCACAATCCTCCTTTCCACCCTTGATTTCCCATGTCCATTCAACCAGCTCCTAACCCTCTCTGCCTTCTCATCTCACCTCTGGACAGAAGCTGCCCATCTAGTCTCATGTATCAACTTGAGCTAATAAGCACACTCTTCACAAGTATCTTTTTATGTCCCACAGTCCAGTCCAATCTGTCTGAAGAGTTGGCCTCACGAATTATTTTAGTTCTGGGTTGACAGAGAGTCCGGGGGCCATGCTGTCTGGGTTACTCCAGTCTCAGTCAGATCATTAAGTCTGGTCTTTTTGCTAGAATTTGAGTTCTGCACCCCAGCTTTCTCCTGCTCCATCAGGGACTCTCTGTTGTGTTCCCTTTCAGGACGGTCATTGGTGGTAGCCGGGCAATATCTACTTCTTCTGGCCTCAAGATGATGCAGTCTCTGGATATGTGGCCCTTTCTGTCTCTTAGGCTAATATTTTCCTTGTGTCTTTGGTGTTCTTCATTCTTCTTTACTCCAGGTGGTTGAGACCAATTGATGCATCTTAGATGGCCGCTCGCTAGCTTTTAAGATCCCAGACACCACTCACCAAAGTAGGATGCAGAACATTTTCTTAATAAACTTTGTTACGCCAATTGACCTAGATGTTCCCTGAATGCATGGTCCCCAGACCCCCGCCCCTGCTACTCTGTCCCTCAAAGTGTTTGATTGTATTCAGGAAACTTCTTAGCTTTGGTTTAGTCCAGTTGTGCTGACTTACCCTGTAGTGTGTGCCGTCCTTCCCTTCACCTAAGATAATTCTTGTCTACTATCTAGTTAGTGAATAACCCTCACCCTCCCTCTCCACCCTTGTAACCATCAAAGAATGTTTTCTTCTGTGTTTAAACCTTGTCTTGAGTTCTTACTTATAATAGTGGCCTTATACAATATTTGTCCTTCTGTGACTGACTAAATTTATTCAGCATAATGCCCTCCAGATTCCTCCATTTTTTAAGATATTTCTTGGCTTCATTGTTCTTTATCGTTGCATAGTATTCCATTGTGTGAATATATCATAATTTGTTTATCCATTCATCCATTGATGGACACCTAGGTTGTTTCCATCTTTTTGCTACCATGAACAGTGCTGCAATGAACATGGATGTGCATATATCCATTCGTGTGATGGCTCTTATTTCTCTAGGATATATTCCAAGGAGCAGGATTGCTGGATCATATGGTACTTCTAGCTTTTTAAGGAAGCACCAAATCGATTTCCAAAGTGGTTGTACCATTTTACATTCCTACCTACAGTGTATAAGTGTTCCAGTCTCTCCACAACCTCTCCAGCGTTTATTATTTTGTGTTTTTTGGATGAATGCTAGCCTTGTTGGGGTGAGATGATATCTCATTGTAGTTTTGATCTGCATTTCTCTAATGGCTAATGATCATGAACATTTCTTCATGTGTCTGTTAGCTTCCTGAATATCTTCTTTGGTGAAGCACCTTTTCATATCTTTACCCATTTTTTAATTGGGCTATCTGTCTTTTTGTTGTTGAGGTTTTGCAGTATCTCGTAGATTTTAGAGATTAGACACTGATCAGATTTGTCGCAGCCGGAAGTTTTTGCCCAGTCTGTTGGTTGTCTTTTTACTCTTTTGGTGAAGTCTTTTGATGAGCATAAATGTTAGATTTTTAGGAGTTCCCAGTTATCTAGTCTCTCTTCTGGTGCTTTTGTATTGTTACTTATGGTTCATATTCTGTTTATGCCATGTATTAAGGCTCCTAGGGTTGGCCCTATTTTTTCTTCCATGATCTTTATTGTAGTCGATGTTATATTTAGGTCTTTGATCCATTTTGAGTTAGTTTCGTTGCCTAGTGTGAGGTATGGTCTTGTTTCAGTTTTCAGCAGATGGATATCCAGTTGCGCCAGCACCATTTGTTAAAGAGACTGTCTTTTCCCAAAATAACGGACTTTGGGGCTTTGTCAAGCATCAGCTGCTTATAGGTGGATGAATTTATGTCTGCATTCTCAATTCTGTTCCATTGGTCTATGCATCTGTTGTTGTACCAGTACCAGGCTGTTTTAAGTACACTAGTGGTATAATAGCTTCTAAAATCAGGTAGTATGAGGCCTCCCACTTTGTTCTTCTTCTTGAGTAATGATTTATTTATCTGAGGCCTCTTCCCTTTCCATATGAAGATGGTGATTTGTTTCTCCATCTCATTAAAAAATGCCATTGGAATTTGGATCAGGATTGCATTGTATCTATAGATCGCTTTGGGTAGAATTGACATTTTCATAATGTTGAGTCTTCTGAACCATGAGCAAGGTATGTTCTTCCACTTATGCAGATTTCTTTTGGTTTCTTGCGGTAGTGTCTTGAAGTTTTCATTGAATAGGTCTTTTACGTCTCTGGTTAGATTTATTCCTAAGTATTTTATCTTCTTGGGGGCTATTGTAAATGATATTGATTTGGTAATTTCCTCTTCGAAGTTCTCTTTGTTGATGTAAAGGAATCCAGCTGATTTTTGTAAGTTTATCTTGTATCCTGATAGTTTGCTGAAATCTTCTATTATTTCCAGTAGTTTTCTTGTGGATTCTTTGGGGTTTTCTGTGTATAAGATCAT